GAATAATAATTGTATATAAGAGAGGTGGGGGGGGGGGGTGTATAGGGTGGTTCACCCAGGGTGTCATTTAAACTAGAACCACCACTACCCTCCCCGATCGTCGTTGACAGCACGCACACACCTTCAATAGACAGCAATGGCTATTTAATATTTACCTTAAGCTACAGTATATCAATAGAAGAAGCTGCATTAAATGGCTCAAAAAGCAATATGGATAAATATTATTATTAGGTATAGTGAGTGTGTATATAGTAATGCCTTTTGTTCAGTTTGTTCATTTGTTTGGGTTATTAATAAACTCATTATTCTTTCATTCATTTTCTTTTCGGCTTAGTCCCTTTATTAATCCAGGGTCACCACAGCAGAATGAACCGCCAACTTATCTAGCACATTTTTACACAACAGATACCCTTCCAGCAGCAACCCATCACTGGGAATAATAAACTTATTAATCTTCATTAATTTTAGACATGGCAAATACCGTATGATGTACAATAAAGGCGCGTAAAAAAAGAAGTTATTTATACAGTATATGAAAAGTGTTTTTAAACTAAACATAGATTTTTATTTGGTTTATGTACTTGCTGAATTATTTCAAGGAATAAATTGCAATATTTCAAGAAGAATGAATTAAATGAATAAAAACTACATTATTTCTTTTACCAGAAACAAAAATATAACATTACACTGAATTCATAATTTTTTTTTGTGCCACCCCAAGATTTGGTGCGGCCTCTTCTGGCCACCCCTAAGAAAATTTTCTGGGGGCGCCACTGGATAAATGGATAGAAATTTTCTGTTGTCAAAATGCAACAATTATTATGGTGAGCACTGTATATAGTTGTTTTTTTTTTAATTATGTTTTAATTATGTGTAACAAATTTTTCATTTTATTTCTTATTTTTAAGCTTTTGGAGAAAGTCTTTTCTTTTTTTAGTTTGCCTGTTAATAAAAAAAACAGCTTAAGACTCTAGCAAAAGAACTAATATATTATGTGATGTTGCCATGTCAAAGACAAAGAAATCAGTTATTAGACACCAGTTATTAAATCTATTGTAAAGATTTAAAATTGTGCAAAAATATTAAACAGGACTTGGAAAATACTTCATAAAAGAGTAAAAACTTGACATGCAGTGTAAAAAAGTTGCAGCCCGCATTATCTCAAAAACTCCCTCTATTTGTCACATCACACCCATTCACTTTTATTTATTTTATTTTTATTTGAAGAAAAAACCTTGTTACTTCAGAATTTTTTCAATACAATTTATTGCTGAATAAAAATATTATGCTGTATAACTGATTGAGAACTGGATTTTCTTATCCTATAGCCCATTCAACTGTTGCAGAATTGCATTCTTACTATCACCGATTTTTACGTATGCAGTAGCATTGAGATGTAACGTCAGCATTCTTTCAGCGTCATCAATAATGTTTATGTCCATGAAAACCTGATATTCTCCCTGCATGGGAGGAAAAACAAAATAAATTAAATTAGTTTCATATCTTCTAACAGACCATATTTTCATTTGCCATTTGTTTACATCTGAAAAAAGTACATTAACACTGCCTGACAAAAGTCTTGTCGTTGATCCCACTTGTAAGAGCAACAAATAATAACTTAATCATTTATAAAAGTGGTAGAAGGTAGATTTTCTGATGAATCATCTGTTGAACTGCATCCCAATCATCGCACATACTGCAGAGGACCAATTGGAACCTGCATAGAGCTGGGGTTACATTCAGTATGGGGGCGTACGATCGATCTGCAGAGTGGATGGCAACATCAACAGCCTGAAGTAGCAAGACAATTGTGCAGCCCAATGCATTACAAACCACAAAAAAGGGCAAATTCTTTAGCAGGATAGCGCTGCTCCTCGTACTTCAGCCTCCACATCAAAGTTCCTGAAAGCAAAGAAGGTCAATGTGCACCAGGATTGGCCAGCCCAGTCACCAGAAATGAACATTATTGAGCCTGTCTGGAATAAAATGGAGAAGGCATTAAAGATGAATCCAAAGAATCTTGATGAACTCTGGGAGTCCTGCAAGAACGCCTTCTTTGCCATTCCAGATGATTATATATTAATAAGTGATTTGAGTCATTGCAGAGACATATGGATGCAGTCCTCCAAGCTTATGGGAGTCATACACAATATTAATTATTTTTCCACTGCACCATGCTTTTATATTCTATACTGTATATTATTTCTGTTAAGTGACAAGACTTTTGTCTAAGGAAAGTTAAACATTACTGTGCTAATTAAATAATTAAAAAACAAGGCATAATCATATTTTGTTTTGTTTGGTAAAATGAGTGTAACCTAGAGGCATTTGCCTTTCATATAAACCACTCCTGATACCAAATGATCAACTAGAAGTCAAGTTATTATTTGTTGATCCTAAAACTTGGATAGCTGACAAGACTTTTGTCAGGTAGTTTACAAGCCATAAAAGCCATGGCTTTGTTATGCAACACCAAGCCAATTTATAGGTACAGAAAGTAAATGGTCTTGAAATCTCACCTGAAGAATTAAAAAAGACTTTCTCTTCCAATAAATTGAACAGGTTTCATGCAATGTTTCTGAAACAAAGAAGTGTACAATATCAATAGTCCTGCATCACTGCAACAAAAGATAAAGTGTATAGTGTGGTAAAACTAACATGTACCTCCTTTAATGATGTAACAGATTTTGACGTCCTCACAAAGAACATATGGCTGTTTGTATTCCAACAAGAGCTGATTTTTGAAGTAAACACGGGCATGAAATCCAGCACTAGCAGGTGTGAACACTAAATTAAATAATAATTATAGTAATTGTTGTTATTATTATAACAAATTTACACTATAACAATGTTACAAAGGAAACTTATAGGAAAGAAAGCATAAAAATGATTACAACTGCGAGAAGGAAAATATAAACACAAAGTAAATATTCAGGGGCATTCAGATATCATAAACTTACTTGGGATTATTGTGTACGTGAGAGAAAACGTGCTTTTTCTGTAAGAGCAGGGGTAAGAAGATACTGACAGGTAATACAGCGGCCCTGATTAACAAACAGAGAGTTTTTAATGACATAAAAAAAAAATACAGTTCAAACAGAATCATGTTAAAACAATTATCATGCAAAGCAGGTTTAGCCAAGATAATCCACGTGAAATATATATATATATATATATATATATATATATATATATATATATATATTAATTTATCGTAAATACTTTTAATAAATAAGAAATATATGAAGAGTTTAGATACCTCTGAGTGCCATCTGAAAATTTCTTCTAAAATGAACCATTATTTCACTTTTATGCCAAGAATAGGTTCTTGGCATTGCCTTTAGAGTGAAATAGCTAAACATAAACAAAGGATTTTGAGATAAATTATCATTTTAGAAGAAACTTTCAGACGTCACAGAGGTTTTTGCATCTGAACTCTTCATATAATAAATACAGTAAATACTTGTTTTAGGGGCAGCCTTGTGGCGCAGTGAGTAGGACAATCGCCTCACACAGCAAGAAGGTTGCTGGTTCGAGCCCCGGCTGGGTCAGTTGGCATTTCTGTGTGGAGTTTGCATGTTCTCCCTATGTTCGCGTGGGTTTCCTCTGGGTGCCCCACAATCCAAAGACATGTGCTACAGGTGAATTTGGTAAGCTAAATTCTCCATAGTGTATGAGTGTATGGATGTCCCAGTGATGGGTTGCAGCTGGAAGAGGACCCGCTGCATAAAACATATGCTGGATAAGTAGGCAGTTTATTCTGCTGTGGCAACCACTGATGAATTAAGGGATTAAGGCGAAAAGAAAATTAATTAATTCTTGTTTTTTCTCTTTACTGTTTATATAATATAGTCGGTACACATCACTTTGTTACAGAATGCAATGATATTTACTATTTAAAATACTGTGATAATTAGGAAAAGCATAGCAAAACAACTGAAGAATGAAGATCTTGAAGTTTTAGCATAACAGTCTGAAAACGCATATCAGAACCTTGTTTTCAGCGGAGTCAATAAACATTTCTACACTGTTTTAGTTAACTACCTTTAACGTAAACGAAGTTGCTTTTTATTACAGCTGTGCTCTTTACAGTATGTTTATGAGTTTCAGGCACCCTTTTGCCTGAGATGGTTCTCTGTGTGCCTCACCTGTTCCCGTTCTGTAATTGTGATTACCTCTTATGGTATCTGTCTATAGTGTAAACATGCCTGTAGTAAACAACTAGTTGTTATAGTTGTATTTAAACTAAGGCTGCACAATAAATCATTTCAGCATTAACATAGCAAATGTGCGAATGTGCAAAAGCATTGTACAATCTGCAATGTTTAGTTTGAATTATAATTAACCAACAAAGTTTAACCCTACTACAGTGAACAAATGTATTTAAAGGCATGTGACTAAAATTTCAAGCTAATTTAAACCATTGGGGCACAAGAAATTATAAAATATAGCTTTAAAAAAATGTATCTTATTTTTTATTACATTTGTTATTTTAAATTTGATTGCATTACATTATTATATTACATTTCACTTCAATAATGTTAGAATATCCAGAAAACCATAAATGACTTTCTATTTATTTAGTATCTACTATCATATTCATTTATGCTTGTAATTTGTTCACTCAAAAACTATTTTTAGATCTTGTTCAATCTGTACTTACTCTTAATGAGCGGAATTGACACAATTCTTGAGATTTTGGGCAGGATAACCTAATTGTTTTAAGTTCCATCAACTTAAATTTGTAAAAACAATTAAGTTAACAAACATTTTGTGTTGGGAAAACATGAAGGAATTGCATGGAACTCTGCATTTTCTACAGTGTTCATTATACTTTATATAATTATTTAAATCTTTACATAACAATAAATGCACTCCCTACAAAATGATCACAATGTAAAATGCAAAACCTTTTAAAATAGTTATTTAAATCATCGTGTGAAACTACATTTATATCGCAATATGCAATCGCAGAAAAACAAAAATATTGCAATGTCATGTTTTTTTCCAAAATCGTGCAGCCCATTTTTATTTCTGACTCACTCAGTTGCTAGATTGCTGTTATAAACATTTTTTGATGGAAAAAATCTCAACAGCTCAATAAACTGCTAATTTTGATCTAAAACAAACCAAAAAGGATAATTTAGCAATTAGTTTTGTACATTGAAAGTTCATTACAAGCACATTGTTTAAGAAAAACAAAGTGTAACTCACCTTCGTAGCTGTACCAAAAACTAAAATCCTCTGAAGAACACAATAATGTTCTCTCGGAAAAGGCAGAGGACACACAAGGCACTGCCACAATATAAAAAATTAAAATTGAAGTGTACAAATACATATTAACTCTGAAAAAAGCTAGCAAGATGTCTGAAAAGAGCCTTAATTCCTAATCAAAATTATAATCTGCTTTACAGTAAAAAGTCCTCTTTAGATGGAAAGATCAGTGATTTTTCAATGTACAAACAGCACTGGGTCGTGGGAATAAGGAACTATCTGAGAACAGATATTAGGCTATGAGATAAAACCATGAAAAAAATCAGGAAATACACAGAATGTGTGTGCAGATAGTACTGTAAATACAACTTTACATTTATTTACACTTTTATACATGACAAATATACCAGATGACAAGTGATGCCTGCCAATATTCAATACGTTACAATGCTGCACTGAAATTATTTTAAAAATACTACTAAACATCTTGGTTATTCACCAGTATTATATACACAAGTTAATTTTTATCTGGTTTGCTGAAGTCATCCATGTCAAAGGAAAACGGACGGTCATAACCCATAAGGTGGTTGTAATCATGTGGCAGAGAAAAATGCATCGGGTTGACCAGCATAGAGCGTTTCTTGGCATAAAAACTAGTAAACATCCGGCTCACGTCAGGGATCGTGACGTCACTCTGATGAAACACAGTCCGTTTCTCCAATAGGACAGCGCTGTAAGTGATGGCCGTGTACATGTCCGTCTCCTTGTTGTGGTACAGGCGTATGACATAGCCTTTGGTGATGAAGTGGAGGAGAGCAGGAGTCAAAAATGTGAAGAAACCTATAACGCCACAAAAAGCCACTTGCAGTGCCAAGCTGTTCACACCCATGCCTGTTTTCATGAGGACAAACGGCATCACACAGAGACTAAACATACTGCTGGAATAGGAAAAAAGCTTCACACCTTCAACAAAAGAGCAGATTTGCACAATTAAGTTGGAGATCTGACAATAACTTGTCATTGGTTGGTTGTATTTTACATTATAGGTGGTATATTTACCGCGGATAGCTTTTCCCAGGTTTCCCGAGTAAATTAGATCTCCATCTTCTGATTGGACTGGTGAGGAATTGTACCATCTTACAGCACAACATGACTGAACCTATGAAAATAAAAACAAGTGAGAAAAGCACTTTTGAACATGGCGATCCAGAAAATGTTTTGATTAATTCACTATAACAGTACAATCCCACTTTATAATTAACTCCCAAGTAGAGGTCAATATAAATGCTGCAGTTTTGACGGTTAGGATCTGTAAGTCTTTTAGGTTTTTGGCTGCATTTATTTGACTTATGAGTCAATACAAACAGTAAACCTGTAAAACAATACATAAATATAGAATAAGTGTTTCTATGTGAACGCTGTACATTTTAAAATATAATTTATTCCTGTCATTCAAAACTGAATTTTTAACATCATTATGCCAGTCTTCAGTGTCAAATTATCTACAAAAATGATTATAATACGCTGCTCATAAAAGAATGTTTGATTATAATTAATGTCGCAAACTGTTGTGCTACTGCATTATTTTAAGAAAACTGTATTAAGTATTTGATTTTTTTTTAAAATACATATACATATATATATATATATATATATATATATATATATATATATATATATATATATATATATATATATACAGATATATATCAGAGGCTTTAAATAAATCAAAAGTGACAATACAGATATTTACAATGTTGGAAAATTTTTTAAAAATGTATGTAATTAAACTATTATTTAGAGTTTTTTATTCATCAAGGAATCATAAAAAGTAAAATGGTCCTACAAAAATGTTCATAATAATTTAACAAATCTGCTTATTGCAATAATTTCTGATGGATCACATGACACTGAAGCCTGGAGTAATATGCTGAAAATTCAGCTTTGAGGCACAGAAAAAAAAAAAAAAAATTATATATATATATATATATATATATATATATATATATATATATATATATATATATATATATATATATATATATATATATAAAGAAGCAATTATTTTAAACACGAAAAATTAATAGTACACCATTTTTACAATGTTTCTGTTATTATTATTATTATTATTATTATATATTTTTATCAAATAAATACAGCCTTGCAGGACAAATGATAAATCCTACATTTTTAAATTGCAAAGAATTTTAAATATATTTGAATATTTACAATGTGAACATGACAGCGTTCCACAATTTAAAATGAAAAAATATATAATAATAGTATATTAAACGTACTTGAAATTTCTACAAATCAATGTTTTAAAAGGCAAAATGTTCTACTTCTCAGTCAACTAATGAAAACATAAAAAAATATATTTTATATACAGTCAGCAGACCTTAACAACCTGCATAAAGGTTAAACAAACAGTATTTAATACCATCCAACGTTACTATGTACCTTATTTGCATGTGCTTTTAAAAATGACCTTCGCATTACATGCAGCAAATCATCCTGCCTTGTCAAAAGTGCAACCCGAGAACTGCAAACATTCCCATCGCTGAGGGATGCTGGACGAACCCCGATCTGGACATTTCTGATGATCTGTTGCTGTATTTTTGACAAACGCCGCAATCCGTGTAAAATCCCAACCTGGTACATTTTATCATGTGGAGTTCTCCCACTTCCTTATACGGCAGGATGACTAAACACACCGGAAGCAATTTGATCAGCGAACGTATACGTGTGCTTTAAATTGCGATGTTTAACTACATTATGTACTGCACAAAATCTCACAGTTGTCAGAAAGTATATATACAAAAATTTACATTTTAAGGCAATTAAAACCAAGAATATAATGGCGTGTTACTAATATATTAACCGCAATGAGAAGGACTCTTAATTTTTAGTCTCCGACTGACAATTGCTTCCTGTTGACTGCACTGACAACAGAAGGAGCAGCTGCCAGAAGAACAGAAGCTCACCGGAGAAAAAAAGACCCTGACAAAAATCTGTTTTGAGCTGTTCGACTGTATTGAGGTGAAATATTATATCGTGTATTTAATAATGACTATTTAATTTAGATTCCAGCAAATGCTAATAAAATTATTTAATGAAAAATAATCATTTGTTCAGAGCGATTAGGCTAACAGCAAAGGTAGCTCATTGCTTTACGTTGATTTACTGTAACGTTACTACATCAAGTTGTAATGTCTCCTAAACGATCCCCTTTTTAATAGAACGCAGATCATATTTTTGTCATGAACATACAATATATATGTGCTCTTTGATGTTACAACATGTTTTAGTACGTTAACTGTTGGTTTATTTCTTTACTATTTCACAGAGAGACGAGGAAAGGCTGTAAAATGGGTGAGACATTCTAAGTTTTAGTGAACGTGGACATTGAATACCTTTCCTAAATTCTCTATTAATTTGATTAAGGTGGATGGTCATGGTTAAACTCTGATGATATGATATACCTGTAGTTAAGCCTTTACAGGTCTTTAAGTTGTCGTTGCTCAAGGCCCTAACAATTTAAGACTAGAAACTTGTGGTATTAAATGTGCTTTTGATTAAATATAAAATCATATTCAAAATAAGTACAACATATTAAAATACATTTACTTTATGCCCAATTAACGCATTAAATCTTTTCAGAGGAGCTGAATTAAGTAAATTTAAGTGAATTTACACTTTAAACAAGCTCAAATTCTCATTCTGTGCGGGTGATACAAAATTACCGTTTGAGATGAGATTATTTCTTTCTGAGTTTATTGGGAGATATTTACTTTTGTTTGTATCATAACTTAAATAAATTGATCAGTTAAACAGAAAAAAAAAAACAGAAAACAGGTTTATTATAACATTATTATTACATAAGACCTTACCTTGTGTAATTTTGCTTCTCGTTTTGTGTAAACATTACTGGATTTAGGAACAGTTTAGGAGTTCAGCCTTTATTTGTAAAATGCAATAAAAATCTTATGACATTGTTACATATTTATCTAAGCTCTGAAATGTTGCCAGTACAGCACAATCTTATTGGCTGTTTAACATTTAAAGGCATGATATGTTATATTTTTCTGTTAAAATTTCCTCTCAAACATTGTTATATATTTTGCTGACTTATATACTTGCATAATGACAAGTGTTTATTAGAATATTTAAATCCAGAGAAAAAAGTAATTTTAAAGAGTGACATAGATCAAGACCCGTGTAGCCATGCTAATGACGTCACACACCTTCAATTTCTGGTTTGATTTACTGGGAAACACCAAAGAAGCTTTAATATGTTGTGTTTCATTAGACTGTACAGAACAGCTATTAGTATGATGAAACAGCGCTGCATCTTTCTGACATCATCAAGACCAGCAGAACTGTAAGCTAGGGCTGAACGATAGTGGAAAAATTTGACATTGTGATATATATATATTTTTTTTTTCTCTGAGATATAAATACAATTTCACCAATGGACTTTAATAGCTCTATTTGCAAAGTCCTTACTTTAGATTGATTGGGGTGATTCTCTAGGGCAGTGAAATATAAATATATTTTATGTAATTTATTGTATACATAAAATAAACACACTACAGTCGTAAATAAACACAATGGACAAATATTAAAGAGAAATAAACTGGAGAGAGTGTAACAGTATCAGGTACAAAACTTGAAGAATCAAATTGAAAATAACATTGCATAGCCTTCATCATGTAAATAGTTTAATAAAAATTAATCTCTATTAAACTTGTTTATGTACTACTTACATGTTTTAATCTCTTTTAAAATGCTAACATAGTCACAGGCCTTAAAAACACATGCAGATGATAAGCTTTTCACTCTATTATGGTTCAATTCTGCAGTGTCTCCACAAATCTCCTGTCTTTTGACCTGTGGTTTCTGCTCAACCTTAATCCCAACTCAAAATTGCATGTCTTGTGATGTGACTATTGCGTACGCACACATTGTGATATTGATGTTCAAACAATATATTGTGGAGCTCCACCATAAGCGGTGGACTGTGGCATAGTAAAATCTCAGCTGTTCCTGTGCTGCATTGTGCTCATCTCTCATTTGCTTCAGCGTTCTAGTTTTACTTTGACAGCTTTCAGGCTTACTCTGCTTGAATACTTTAGCTTTTGAGTCCTGTGGGATGTAATGAAGACAACAACTCCCATGATTCCACACTCAGTCACGGCATCATCAAACTATAGCTGCGTCCCAAATCGCATACTTATGCACTATTCTACGCCCTTTTGTAGTTTAAAGAGTGTAAGTAGCGCGTTCACACTGAAAACTCTAAAAATAATAAGTGCACTTTAATTACCCAGATGATGCACTCATTTAACCGGTAAAATGAAGTGTGGAATGATGGACACTTCGCGCACTCAACGACTGCAGCTTTGCTCACGTAGCGGAAGGGGCGGAGCTTTCGGGTGCACATTGAATAACTTATTTATTTTAGATGGTGAAAGCAAAATTCTCCCACGAGAGTGATTATAGCGCCTCCCGATGGTGAATGTGGTTATACTCATGACAGGTATTATTTGATAATTTGGTCATTTATTTCACTCATTTGGCAACCGTCAAACATCATCAGGGAAACGGGTAAAATTTCCGCTTAGTAAAAAAACATTAGTGCTACATTTGGGACGAAACTACAGTCATATACTATGCTGTTGAGTGTGTAAGTGCATAAGTACATGGTTCATGAGTGCATAGTGTATAGTGTGCCATTTGAGACGCAGCTTTTGTCTTTATTGTGAATATGCGGCCTCTAGTGGCTGAAATGACATACAATACCTATAAAGAACATAATAATTATTCATTAAATGGTCATCAAGTCATATATTTAGATTCATATAACCTGCAGAAACTCTTTGATTTAGTGTATAATCACAGTCATTTATTTTAGACAGCGAAGAAAAGACCTATGGTGGCTGTGAAGGGCCAGATGCCATGTATGTGAAACTGATCTCCTCAGATGGCCATGAGTTTATCGTGAAGCGAGAACATGCTCTGACATCTGGAACAATTAAAGCTATGCTTAGTGGTCCTGGTAAGTATTGGTTACAAAAGCAGTTTGAATCACTATGGAATGACAATTTAAGTTACATCTGTAATATACTTATATCCAGCAGTAATTATTTACTCTTTTTCCATTTGTGTAGTGATTTAGTTTCTTTGTTAGTTTGTTTTGTCTCTGTTTTTCAGGCCAGTTTGCTGAGAACGAAACAAATGAAGTCAACTTTCGAGAGATCCCATCTCACGTTCTTTCCAAAGTGTGCATGTACTTTACTTACAAAGTTCGCTATACCAATAGTTCAACAGAAATCCCAGAATTTCCTATTGCTCCAGAGATTGCGCTGGAGCTTTTGATGGCTGCAAACTTCTTAGATTGTTAAACATTAAAAAAGCACACATATACACATCTGGCTGCAGAATAAATATGAAAAGCAAAATATCATTGTTTTTTATTGCTTTTAAATATTATTAGGTTTGAAAACCAAATTGTTCTATTTAATCTGCATTTCTTTCACCGTTCCTTAAAATTAGTGGATATCTTAAGTTATTTTTGTCTTACTTTTTATCTTTTAAAGCTCTGACCCAGTATTAACTTGCATAAATTTAGATGCACGAGTGATGTTTTCCAATTTCAATGTTTTCATGACCAGAGTCAACAGGGCAGCAATGTTATTTTATGATGTAACAATTTCAGCCGAAATAGATTTGTCATGCCTTTTCTGCATGTGGATTGATCAGACAAGAGTCTTGTAATTGTCCACAGCAGTCATTCATCAGTTGTTTAATGAATAAAATTAGCTGTTCTTGAAAATAGTTTGTTCATTCATTTCAGTCTGGTTTGTGCATTTATTATTTACATAAAACTAATGTTAAGATTCCTCCTTTACCTCTTACATTAGGCAAAAATAAAAAGTCCTCCCATTTGTCATCGATGACAGAAGATTTCTGAAATTGAATAACACAAGTATATGTTTAGGTAGATTTACTATACTAAGAGGAGATCCTGCAGTTATTTTTTATGTATGATCCAATTTTCAGTAAATCCGCATTTATTTATAAAGTTGTAAACTTTTTAATAGCAAGCTCTACAATATTATATCTGTGCATATACATTAGATTAGTCAGTACTGAAGCCAAATCTGGAGCTTATCCAACAAAATATCTTAACATAATGTTCCAAAGACTAGAACACCCAAATGTATATGTTATAGAAAAATATTAAATACAAATCTAAAAAAGAGGAAAAATCAAGAAAGGCAAAAAAAAAAAAAAAAGTGAAATTAAGTTGAAATTTTGTAGGTTGTAATTTTTAGTTGCAGTAATTTGCTTGAATTTAATTGTATGTATTGTACCAAAATACATTGTCTATATTCACTGATAAAGGGATAAAAAATTAACATTTTTGAACATTTAGAGCATAAAGAACTGAAATTGGTCAAAACTCAAAGTAGGAAATGGACGTTTTGTTTTTAAAACTATCTATATTCATTTTTAGAGAACACAATACCTGTGGTTTAGCTTAAGAAGAGATAAAAAGGCAATGTTTGGCAAAAAATCCTGATTTTCCTGACTGTATAACAGATTCATATCACTAAGCTAAAGGATTTTAGTATCTTCACAGCCTACCACTGTCAAAAAAAATAGAGTTAGGCCTCAACAGAGAAGCAGGTGTGTGAGAAAACCTGACAAACATCTTAAAAAAAACCTGAAATATCTGAACAATGTTTTTAGGTGTGGTAACCATAATGTGTGTGTGTGTGCATGCGTGTGCGCGCGCATGTGTGTGTGTAAAGTTGAATTCAGAATTATTAGCCCCCCTTTTAGTTTATTTTTTTTCTTTTTAAATATATTTCCCAAATTATGTTTAACAGTGCAAGGAAATTTTCACAGTATGTCTTATAATATTTGTTTTCTTCTGGAGGAAAAGATTTTCTTTTTTAATTTTTTAAAACCATTTTAAGGACAAAGTTATCAGCCCATTTAAGAATTTTTTGCTAGTCTACAGAACAAACCATCATTATACAATAATTTGCCTAATTACCCTATACTATTTACCTAATCTGTGCCTTTAAATGTCACTTTGAACTGTATAGAAGTGTCTTTAAAAATATCTAGTAAAATATTATTTACTGTAATCATGACAAAGATAAAATAAATCAGTTATTAGAAATAAGTTATTAAAACTATTATGTTTAGAAATGTGTTGAAAAAAAATTCTCTCCATTAAACAGAAATTGGAAAAAATTAAACAGGGGGCTAATAATTGAGCAGGGCTAATAATTCGGACTTCAACTGTACATATATATATATATATATATATATATATATATATATATATATATATATATATATATATATACATATATATATATATATATTGTGTGTGTGTGTGTGTGTACAATTTTATTTTTTAAATAATATATATATATATATATATATATATATATATATATATATATATATATATAAATATATACATTGTGTGTGTGTGTGTGTACAATTTTATTTTTTAAATATTTCCCAAATGATGTTTTAACAAGAAATTTTCACAGCATGTCTGATAAAATTTCTACTGGAGAAAGTCTTATTTGATTTATTTTGGCTAGAATAAAAGCAGATTTTTATTTTTTTAATCACAATTTTACGGTCAAAATTAAAAGCCCTTTAAACTATTTTTTTTTTCGATAGTACAGAACAAACTATCATTATAAAATAGTATACTAGTATATACAAAACTGCCTAGTTAACCTAATTAACCTACTTAAGCCTTTAAATGTAACTTTAAGCTGTATAGAAGTGTCTTGAAAAATATCTCGTAAAATATTATTTACTGTCTTCATGGCAAAGATAAAATAAATCAGTTATTAGAGATAAGTTATTAAAACTATTATGATTAGAAATCTTCTCTTCATCAAACAGAAATTGGGAGAAATATAAACTGGGGGGCTAATAATTCTGACTTCAATTGTATATGTATGTGACAGGCCACTTTATTAGGTACACCCTTTTTGCCTTCAGGACTGCCTTAATCCTTTGTGGCATAGATTCAACAAGGTACTGGAAATATTCCTCAGAGATTTTGGTCCAAATCAACATGATAGCATCACACAGTTGCTGCAGTTCCACCACCCCCAAAGGTCTTTTATTGATTAAGATTTGGTGACTGTGGAAGTTATTTGAGTACAGTGAACTTATCGTCATGTTCAAGAAACCAGTCAGATTGTCACTTGTGTGTGTGTGTATATACATATATAGTTGAAGTCAGAATTATTAACACCCCTGTTTATTTTTTTCCCCAATTTCTGTTTAAAAGAGATTTTTTTTCAACACATTTCTAAACATAATAGTTTTAATAACTCATTTCTAATAACTGAAGTAGGAACAAACGATACATTCTATTGATATACAGACATACATAAGCACACATGATACAATCTAAATATAAAATGCCTATCATCATGCCTATTATCATGTATCACACATAATACAATATACATATACACATGATACACTCCTGTCAGTGTCTGGGATAGAACCTGGGTTTCTGGGGTGATAGGTGAATCAAATACCCACTGAGTTACTGGAGGTTGATGAATCGTAACAACGAAAGGCAATAAGAGACACTCTATACATATATACTCAAGTTACACTCTATACATAAGCATACATGATACACGCTATACATAAATACTCATGATACAATATACATATGCACACATGATACACTATAAAAATAGGCCCAATACATACTACTTATACATATGCACACGATACACTATACATATACACACAATAAACTCCATACATATACACAATACATTCTATATCCATATACACATGATACACGCTGTACACACACGATACACTCTCTATACATATATGCCCTATACATATACACATATGATATACTCCATACATAAGCTCAAATGATTCATTTTAAACATATCCACACATGATACAGTCTTTAGATATACACACAGAATACACTCTACACACATACACATGACACAGTCTTTAGATATACACACAGGATATACACTACACACATACAAATGACACACTCTATACAAATATACACACAATACACTTCATACATATACACACAATACATATGCATGCATAATACACTGTTATGGAACAAAATCAATGCCTAAAGTCTTGAATTAAAAAGCTTGTTGAATATCACAAACTGAAAAAAATAATACACCGTATTAACAAGTTCTTGCATTTTAATGACTTGAATTCCAGGGTTTATATTTTTAGGTCCTGAAATTTAACATATCTGTATGTTTAAGCTTTGAATATTTCAACGAAAAATATTTCAAACACGTTTTCATACTTTAAAATTCAATAATTCATATTCAATTTTCAGATTTCACTTACAAAATATTCAATACCCTTTAAAAATACGATGTATAATATTCAAAAGGTAATTTTCAGTTCATTTTATTTCAGTTCAAATATTCGCTTCCATAAATTCAGTGGATCAAATTCGACTGTTAAAATTCAACATTACATCCGGGAACTGCAGGATAAGCAATAGATTGCAGATTGAAGATCGCCAGCTGCTCTAGCTTTCACCAGCAGGTGGAGATGGAATAATGTAAGATTTTTAACCCAGTAAACAGGCGAGAAAAAGGCTATTAAAGGCACAAAAGTAGCATTTAATATTAATATCAATGCTTTGGACATTATAAATGATAAAAAAGTATGAGTAAAATGAGTAAATGAGGTTTTAGTCATCTATATTTGCCCTTATGTAACGGAAGTCAGCTGGTGATGGCGTAAAGCTCAGTTCTCGGATCCAGGGACAGACGTTGTTCTGCAGTCTTATCGGAGCTTGTCTCCCATGCCGGCTCGCTCCCTGCTCGGACCGGTGCAGTTACTTGCACATAAACCGTCTTTTGATGAATATGATGTTACACATTGTCTATCATTATTGACTCTTTCTTCCATAGACGCGAAGATTATATTGACAGCTAAAGACTATAAACGTAAGAGAAACAGGAGAGGAAATATTATAATAATACAAAATAGATAAACATTGACAGGGCTAAGAACAATTACGAACAAAGATATTCAAAAGCAGAGAGATTTTATGAGAATGTCACACAAAACAGTTTACTTGAAATGTTAAACAGTGTTCAGGTATGATTTAAGGTTGGTTATGGATGGGGCGTGTAATTTAAAATAATTTAACAAAACGTGCGAATGCATTAAAGGAGCATCTTCAGTTATTATTTAAACGCAGCTATGTCAAGATTGGGATAGATTATATAATTTCATTATTTAAATTATGATTGTTAATATTAATATTTTATGACATGTATTTGGGCTATTGCGCTTAAATAAGTCATCCGTGATTCTAAATTAATATTTCTATTTATCCTTTTTATCACTCTGCCTGTCTTTTTCTTCTTTTTTTCTAATTTTTGGGGTTCTGCCACGGTTAAACGTTTGCAAAATGTCTTAGTTTGTCCAGAATATTGTTTTATTGTTATGTAGCCTATAGACGAGAAATGTATTAACGCAAATGGCAATGTCGCAGCCAATTAAGTAATAAAATGAGTTGCCTGTGGTTTGATAATAGGCAGTTATAACTGACTTTAATTTGTTTTCAGTATTAAATGAGAAAACCATTATTTATAAATTTTCAGCAACCGTTTGTATTTTATGATTAGCAATGCTGATCTTTTTTGCAGTTATTAAACATATAAACTTATTTAAACTGGTTTAAATTTAATATAGTTGTCACTTGAGCCTGTTTCATAAGATTAATGTTTAGAATGCGTGGTTTGACATGCGTGGTTG